AAGACAATGAATATAAAGGGAAAATTTGCTGATATTGAACCAGCTGTGTGGCATCACCGTGTGTGCAGATGAACCGTGTTTGGCTTCATCCCCGTGCCGCTGCCAGCACCTGGACCTGCACCGCTGGATGGGCAGGAATTTCTGAGTGAAGTCAAGCAACGTTCATCTGTGCACACTGTGATGACACACAACTGGTTCAATATCAGCAAAGTTTCCCTGCTTCCCTTCACTGGTTCCTGTACAGCAGGTTCGGTCTTTTTTTCACCGTTATAATCACTAAAAAGCAAAAGCAGGATGTGTATACATTCAGTAGGCTATATCTTCAGTAGCTAGCTAGCTAACTCTATACTTTTCAGGGACTAATTTTGGTTTTGGAACAGGAACGTATATCTTTTTCCAACCTCTCCAGGTAACGAGTATCATTAATACATGAAAATGAAGGAAATCTGAAACGACTGTATAAGAGTCAATGGAGCACAGCTGTGTTGTTGTCGGACCCTGGTCTGAGCTGGCCTGATGCTACTATGATTGGTCAGTCTGCATATGGGGGTGGGACTTAGCGAAAGTTTCAATTAATCTAAAAAATGGCCCATTGGACCAAGAGTCCATTTCTCCAACAGCCTGGTATCCCAAAAACCAAACGCATTGCACCAAAGTTGCTTTTCTCTGCAGTTTCCCAGTGGTGTTTGTGCCACAGCTTTTGTGCCACCAAACGTCTGTGTTTTAAGCCAAATCATAATCTTTCCTATCCATTACTGAGCGGTTTAAACCTAACCAGACATTTATCACAACATGACAAATCCCTGGTTTACGAAAACCTACAATGTAAAGATTTTTCCTGTGATTTGTTTGTCCAACTGCAGAGTGTGTGTATTTTCAGAAAAAACAAGACTTTGGAGCAAAATGCATTTGTTTTTGGGATAATGAGCTGTCAGAGAAGTTGGGCTTTTGGTCTAATGAGACATTTTGCAGATGAATGGGGCTTCAGAATTTAGGGCAGTGAAAACAATGGGTGGTCCCTGTTGGATGGATTAGTGACAACTTAGCTAGCTAGTAACATACAACATGTAAACAGACTGAGGTTGTTTGAAGGGATTTTTGTTCTTGGTTTTGGCAGAGATTAACTGTTTTCTCCTGATATCAATGTTTGTGCTAAGCTAAGAGGATCTTCTCATGTAGGCTACACAACCGAACGCACCTCCCATACTGATTGTGTGTTCCTTTAACGTGTGTCTGACAGAAAGCAAAGCTAATATTTGTTCATATGAGTTATTTGCACGCAGTCTGTTTATTCATCCCAAAAGGACAGTGTGCCAGCTGTACAGGAGTTTGCTGTAAGTGAGCTAGGGACAAAAAAATATCCAGAAACTGGTTCTCTCTGTAATTGTCTCTCTTATTTTTGTCTCATCTCTGTTATGAAATCAATTCATAAAATCACTCTCTACTGACTTTAAATGTATGCGAATGCTAAAATTGACTTTCCTGTAACAAAATTATGGTCGACAATCTACAGTCAGAAAAACTGTTCACATCCTGCTCCATTTAAGCTCAACTTGCACTACCTGCTCTTAAAGAAACCAACTCAAATCTTCCAATAGCAGGAGAGACAAGCAGAGCACAAGTCTTAACAGGGCGAAATACACATACATCAAAAGTATTATCCAATAAAACACACTCCAAAGCACATTCATGGCTCTTACAATAAAGATTAAAAAGGAATGTGACCATCTCTGCTATTCAGGGAATTCAGTCTTTCTGACCTTTTTGGTTTTGTGTGATACAGCTTTTTATGTGTGTGTAAAGTCACACACACATTCGCATTTTAATATGTCTGCAGAGCTGACACCTCAGTCCAGCGAAGAAGGATGGCTTTGATCCGGAGATGCTGACAAACAGGCGAAATTTACGGCTGTGGCCTCCTCGCTCTGCATCCTGATTCTCATTTCCACCACCATTACAGCCCCACACCGACACTTATTACCAGACAGAACATAAAACATGCTTCTCCCTCAGCCGTCTCCTTTCTTCCCTCAAGATAGCAAAGGGGTAGACATGAAAAGAAATGGCTGCTATGGTCGGTGAGGAGTGTGCACGTACAGATAATAAAAAACTCTACTGACCATAAAGTCATTACAAACTCATGGTGTGCATGCAAACATTATTGAAACATACAGAACTTTAATTAATGTTGAATTTTAGGGGAGATCCCAAAATTTCAGAATAGGTATCCAGATGTGCTCAGCTTAAGAGTATGTCAAGATGACCTTTATAAAGGGAAGTCTTGGGTCTGGATATTTCGCTCAGAGTAATCATACTGAAGCTTCAAAGAAGAGTTGATAAAAGTCAGAACATAATATAAATGTGATACTGTCAGACAGTGCGGATTTAGATGGGGGCTTTTTTACCCTTAAATCAATTTAAGTGGAAATAAAATGGGGGGAAATGGATGATAATGAAATTGAGATGTGATTAATTGTGTTTGTCTGTGAGCTGGTAGCCTCAGTTTGTCCTTAGCTCTTTCAGTGACTGCATAAAAACATTTTTATACAACACTGCAAGTATTTTAGGATAAGCATGTGTGCAATAATTATAGAGTGACACACTTGAGAAATCAGCCAACTGTATGCTGATTGCATTGGGACTCAAGGACTAAACACCCTGTGGTCGCTTTCAGCAGCTATAAATTTCAAAATTAATCCCAGAGTTTCCCGTAGAAGATGATATTTTCTACGTGGTATTCATATGTTTTTATAGCCTCGTAATACTCTGGCGTGGTTTCTGTGGTTATGAGGAAGGGCCAGAGGGGACTAAGGTGAGCCCTAAAATAGAAAGTTGAAGCACTCTTCAAGTTTGAAGCCTGAGGAGGGAGGGCTGTTTCATAACAGGGCTTTTACAGTGGCATCTCCCTGGATGGCTCCCACCACACCTTCTACTCAGCAGCATTGCAGGGGTATAAATCTTTGAAGAACTGCAACCTGCGTCACACATGCACGCCCAGTGCCGAAGTTGTCCCACCCAGTCGGTGGGTGAGGAGAGATGGGCTACACAGAGACAATTCACGAGGCTTAAGGTCTCAAGGTCTAGGACAGTGTGTGTGTGTGTGTGTGTGTGTGTGTGTGTGTGTGTGTGTGTGTAAGTGTGTAAGTGTGTGAAGCGGCGGCAGGGGGGCAAAGATCATTGTACAGTACAGCAGCAGGTAATCCATCATTTTTCTTTAACGCACATCTGCACTGTGGCCCTGAGAAGCAAAAGAAAATAAATATATCTCCATGAAAGAGGTCAAGGTGACATTGCTTTCTGGCCTGTAAAATCAATATTTACTTTTACAAATAACTCAAAGCAGCAAAGTTATTTTCCTCAGGCCTGAAGGCATATCAGAAGAACATTTATATTACAATACTGGTACACAGCATGAAAGCTTACAGGTTCATAGATAAAATGGCTTTTGTGCATTTGCTGCATCATTAGTGTGCAGCAGAAAGAAAACTCCCCACACAGCCTGTGTTGATCATTCATGAAAATATTAGCATTTTAGAATCATGGGCTCATATACTATCACAGACATCTGTGAATATTCTCTCCATCCTATTCCTATTACCATTAAATCACAAACATATCATCATCAATCAGTAGTGGAGGAAGTAGATCTTTTACTTAAAGGTCCAGTGTGATTTAGGGGCATCTATTGGTAGAAATTGAATATTGAATTCATAACTATGTTTTGTTTTGATCACCTGGATAAATAAGAATAGTTTTGTTGTTGTTACCTTGGAATGAGCTGTTTATATCTGCATACAGAGCGGGTCCTCTTCCATGGAGTCTGCCATGTTGTTCTACAGTAGCCCAGAATGGACAAACCAAACACTAGCTCTAGATAGGGCAACATTCTTGCATCATCCGAAATTCTCCCACACGCTTGGCACAGGGGAGAAGTTTCAGTTCTGCAACATCACTGCTTGATGCCAATTATATCCTACACGTTAAGTAAAAATAAAGAACAAGTACCAACACTTAAAGGCTCTCTAAGTCTTCCTGAGCTTGAAAAGTTTTTGTCACATACAGTAAACATCTCCTCACGATTCGCTAGCTACATGTCCTCTGAATATGCTGTGAAAAAGTCCGGTCTCTGTAGGCAGCCCAGGCTCTGCAAATGGCAACAAAAACATTGTGGTCCAGGCTACACCAACCAGCCAGCGCGAGACCAGCGAAAGCAAGCACACACACGTGAACACGGTGCCCATGTCTCACAGTCTTGCGCAAGCGCACACACGTGTACACGGTGCCCAGAGAGGCAGTTAGAGCTACAGGTTACAATGAGGCTAAAAGGTGAGGTAGCTCCGTTGTGTTTGATAACATTGTTGAACATAAACAGAAGTGAAATGTTTTTGTTGCCATTTGCGGAGCCTGGGCTGCCTACAGAGAACGGACTTTTTCACAGCATATTCAGAGGACATGTAGCTAGCAGATCATGAGGAGATGTTTGCTGTATGTGACAAAAACTTTTCAAGCTTAGGAAGACTTAGAGAGCTCATTATGAAGAATGGCCCCTTTCAGAATACTGTATTTAAAAAAAAAAAAAAGTATATTATTGGAGTATTACTACTGATGCATTTTCACTGTGAATTACTTTATATAATGCTGGGAACCCCTTTTTTAGATTAATTTTTGGGCTTGTTTGCCTTTACTGGAAGAATAGTTGAAGATAGACAGCCGAGGGCCGCAGGTCAGAATCGAATAAAATCTTTGTCTGTAATAATACACCATAGTTCATTTGTTGATTAGATTTTGTATTATCAATCAGAATCCTCTAAGTGACTATAGAGGATTAAAAGCTACAAAATAACTTTAATTTACAGACAGCACCTTTAAGTAAATGCACTCAGTTAATTCCCACTACCATTATTAATCCTAGATCATAGAGTCTATGTACGAGTACAAAATATGATCTTGTGTGCACTAAAAAGTGTGTGTCGTGTACAAATAAACACATTGAAATCATGTGCAGCCTCATTAATGTCAAGTCTTTATTGATGTGGTGTCATACAGCAATACATAAGTAATAACAGTAAAGAGAATAGCATGTCAACTACATTCGATCCCTATGCTTTTGTAGTCATTGTAGCTCTAATAAACACTAATAAAGAGATAATAATGATTAAACACCCCACTGGACAGAATCATACACATCACACACATGGCCAGAAAAAAAGCTGCTGGTGTTTTAAGGCATTTCACATCCTACAGTTATTTGTCCTATGGCTAAATCTTGATTGTTGGTTTTGAATTGGTGACGTACTGTATTTTCAGAAAATGCTTAATGGGGTCATCTCCCATGAAGTGGTGTTGCATGTGCACTTGGAAAAGTTTGGCAGTGCAATAGTAGTAGTAGTGACATATTTGTATTCAGACATCAATGAAAACTCTTTTGGTTTTACAGTGTAAAGATAAAGGCTTGATATTGGCAACCGTAATCATTCATCCATTGTTATAGCTGTATACTATAAAATTCTGCTTATATTTTTAAGTTCTTGTTCATCAGAGGTTTTTCTTCTGCTTTACACTTGAAATCAGTAATCCCTAAAACTGTCAGATTGGCTGCCCCCTAAATAATTCCAGTCATGATAGGCCACTGTGTAGAGATACATACACACTCACTACAGTACTAAGATACTTATCACAAGCCTCAGGTAAAACAACAGAAACCCAATCCAGAACAGTCCGCCATACAATCAGTAGTTTTTTTGTTTTCAGTGTGAGTGCAGTTTGTCAGGGCGTGAGACGCCGCGACCAGCAGCAGGAGAATAAGATAGCTGTGCTAACATTGGCAGTGCACAAAGCAGAAAAAACAAGCTACAAGTCTCTCGTACTGAGGGATTTCTAGTGGTGAGGTCGTACTACAACAGACATTTTATCCAGTCATGGCCACAGTTATACAGAGAGAGCGGTCAAGTTGTTTCAAACACACCTGACGGCTTCTGGCTGAATTTTGTGACATATTGTGAGCGTTGACGGCATGGTTTTCTTTCTGGCTGAGTGATACGGTATGGATTCTGGGGCTTGAATGTGCTTCAATCGTCAGCGATGGCACATGGGAAATGGTGTTGAATATGCAAACAACTCATCACACCCAGATGGATCATGGAGAAATTGTGCTAAAGCATAATTTACAATTCAGACTGTTTCAGGAGGAAAAATCACTTCCTATTTCTTATCATATTGTCTGTATTTCTCCTCCTTTACAGCATTTTTGCTTTATTGTACTTTTCCCTGTATCCTTCATAGCACATTGTGCAAACTGTTTACCACGTTTGGTAGTTTTGACATTCCTATATAAGAGGTTTTTGTACTTCTTATCTTCAGAGCGTCAACATCTACCTAAGTCACATCCTACAGTAATAGTCTCAAATCTAGCCTACAGGCTAACAAGCACTTGTCTACTACAGTTATGAGTGTTGTGCACGATGATGCTCGGCATGGTAGATGGAGGGCATGAGCAGGCCTTTTGACTCTGAACAATGGATGAGCAACAGGCCGATGGATTCCATGCAAGCATGACATCTACATACACCATGCAAATTTTGCTTCCATAATACGTTTGTTTTCTTGTTTGCTTCGAATCTCATTTAAAAAGCGACGGGAATCCACTTTTGAGAGCGGAACTTCAGCGGGAAAGTTTAAAAGGGAGCTGAAAGAGAATGACTCTTTCATACTGTTGTCATGCAGAGTTGACTGCACCACAGTCAAACCACTGAGGCATTGTGCAGGGAGACATTTTGCTCATGGACTCCATTTTTAGAAACTCGAACTAATGGCTCAGCAAGACACTATCATTTATTATGGTCGATTTTGGCTGGTTTCCTTTGACTGTAGACTGTGTGCTTCCTCACTAAACTGCCATAGTAATATCTTTATGTATGGAATAAGTGGACGCACACACACATGCTTCCATTGGAATGTGTTGAGAGTATCTCACAGCTTGTGGTAGTAGTGAATGACCGGAGATATTATCTACCGTGTTTCAGTATCACATATCGATGTAACATCAGACCAAAGTGTTTAACACCGGTTGCGTATTTTACCTCGAAAGACCATAGTTCTGTAAGAGATGCTACCTAAGTGCTTGTTATTGTTTGATGTTGAGTGTGTGAGGGAGACAGAGAGAGCACAGATGTAGAGTGGTTTGTAAAGAGTGATGGTTACAGTAGAGTTATAATGGATTTCCTTTGGGGAACACGTGTGGGGGGAGAAATGGGAAAGGGAAGGATAAACCCAGGTAAAACAAACACCTGCACTCTACGCACTTGTGGACATCCAATGCACAACAGAGCAGACAGAGACCATGATCTTACTGTGCTTATAGTGAAGAGGCAAACTATCATCTTAGAACCCTACAAGTGCTTAAGTGCAAAAGCTCAGGGTTTGTTTTAGCATGGGAAATGAGGAGAGGTATAGGTTTGCAAAGGTAGAGGGAAGCTTCAGGGGTCAAAAACAAGCTTACAGCAGACTCTTAGTTTTTCTGATTGGTGGGAATGTCGCTGGGGTCTTGCGGCTTCTCCATCTTCTTGGTGGTGATCACTGTCTCCTCATAAACCTCACGCTGGGACACCTTGCCTCCAGACTTGCCCTGCTGCTGCTGCTCCTCGTCCTTGCTCTTGGAGCCCTTGCCAGAGCTGGTGTAAATACGGGCCTGGTAGTTGTAGCCTTGCCCGACACTTGCGCTCAGGGAGCCAGGGTAGGTGATCCCTGTCCCGATGCGGGTTTCCTCTCCCTCAAGTAGTTTCCTGCATAACGGAGGATGGAAGGCAGGGTTAGAAAGGATAGATAAGCACTTAATGTCTCAATATTTGTGGTTTTAAATCCCATGCGAGTTGTGTTTGAGCCTACCTGTAGGCTGCAATTTCAATATCCAGTGCCATCTTGACATTCAGCAGATCCTGGTACTCCCTCAGGTGACGAGCCATCTCACTCTTAGTGGCCCTCAGGTCATTCTCCAGCTCTACCATGTTGTCCTACAAAAGGACAGTCAAACAATGCAGGAGAATTAGGCCATGACTCAAGATTAAAAAAAAAAAGTTACTCAGACATCATAATCTCTGACCTTATTTTTCCTGGAGGATTATTCTCAGTGCCCAGACAAAGACCTCTGTCAGTCCTATTGTTACCCTACAGTGTGTAGCTGAGGATTCCTGTCGTTTATGAGCAATATGGGTTGAAATGTTTGTCCTAAAAAACACACTCTCAGCTGGGAGTGATGAATCCATTTAGAGCATATACCCAGTCAGTGGGCGTTGTCAGATGCAGCTGCTGAGCGCGCTGTCCCAGGGGAATGAGTTTCAGCACCGCGGACAGAGCTCAGCTGCTCCTCATACTCATATTGCTCAATAAAAAAAAACACTAAACAGCATTCATGTCGATGTAAACAAACATTTACAAGGCTAAAAATAAATGGCTGGCTTCCTATTCGGCTATCACACCTTAGATAGACGGTTAACAAGACATTAAAAAGGTGATTACCTGGTAGTTTCCGATCTCCACACTGTGCCTCTCCTCCATCTCCCGGAGCTGCTTTTCCAGAGACTCGTTGGTTCCCCTCAGACTCTCTATCTCGATGGTCTTGGACTGCAGCTGCCTCCTGAACTCGTTGGCTTCCTCCCTGCTGGCGCGGATGGCGTCGTTACTCCGGGTGGCCTGCTCGGACAGGTCGGCGAACTTGGTCTTGTACCACTCCTCGGCGGACTGCAGGTTCTTGGACGCCATGGACTCGTACTGGCCTCGGATCTCTTTGAGGGCGGAGGTGAGGTCCGGCTTGGACACCTCCATCTCCACGGACACCTGGGCAGCTTGGATCATGTCCGTCAGCTCGGCCACCTCCTCTTCGTGCACCTTCCTGAGGAAGTTGATCTCATCCAGCAGAGATTCCACCTTCTTCTCCAGGTCCAGGCGCACCATGGTGGCATCATCCACATCTTTCTTAAAAGCCTTGAGGGTGGCCTCCGCGTCCTCCCGGGCACGGTACTCCTCTTCGTATTTCCCCCTGAGCTTCTGCAGGTCATCTTCGATACAATCCCTCTCGATGATGAGCTGGGACTTCTCTCCGTTCAGCTCCTCCAGCTGGGAGCGCAGCTCACGGATCTCTTGTTGGTAAAGATCGGCTAGGCGGGACGGCTCGGTCTGCCGCTGGCGCAGGGCAGTCAACTCCGTTTCCAGCACTTTGTTATGCTGCTCCAAGTTGCGCACTTTATCGATGAACATTGCAAAGCGGTCATTAAGACCCTGCATTTGCTCCTTCTCATTGGTGCGGATGATTTTGAACTCATTGTTGAGGACACTGCTCTGTGTCAGGTCGAAGGTTTCCAGTGGCATGGACGAATAGGAGCGGCCGGACTTTCTGCTGTACGCGCCCAGGGATGAGACGTTGCTCCGGGATACAGAGGAGGACCGGTACCCTGCCCGTGAGGAGGATACATTTATCCCTGACCGGGATGGAGAGGACGAATAACGGGGAGAATCCCCGAAAATCTTCCGGTAGGAGGAGGAGGAAAAGACTTCAGATCCGTAGCTCATCGTGGCGTGTATGGAGACAGAGCAGTGCAGTGGGCGCGCCTCCTTTTTATAGGGGGACCAGCCCAATCACTCATTAATGCCCGAGGGTAACATCCAGACTCAGTTCTTTCACATGCGTCAGGTTGTAGTAAATATACGAATCATTGCTGATTATTGTGCTAAAGGTGAATTTTACTTATTGGTGTAACTATAATTAGTCTGCAATAATCCTGACATTGGTCCAGATGTGCGCATGTTGGCACTGCTCTTGGAGCAGATGGAACTGTCCTTTTTGGCGCAGTGGTGCGTCAGTGTTTGATCGCTTGTTGCACATTTATACTTGGAATACAGAATAAAATTAAAATGTTATTTGTTATTAATAAGGCAATCTCGAGCCTACTTTTAGTGTTTCCGTAGCTGTGGTTTTTTTTAATACCTCTAAGATTTCTCAGAGATTTCCACACTAAATCCAAATGCACACCACGACTACCAGTGCACAGCGGTAATTCAATGCATAATGATGACGCTGCACTTTACTTCAAACTTTCTTATCCACAAAATCTCCTCTACATCTACAGTTTCTTCTGGTGAAATATAAACATTTAACTTATGTTTCTATTTAAAAAATAATATATAACAATGCACTCTAATTCTGTTGCACAGGTGAATACATTTTACAGGTTTGAAACAATATGATCATGCAGGAATATCTGTCTTTTTTACCTCTTCATGTCAAACATCTAATGTTAGAATGAGGATACATGAATGAGGAGAGGCTTAAAATGGCATGGGTTTCACTTGAAACTTTCAGATTTGTGCACCTGCTGACCGGTATCAACAGTAAATGAGTATTCTTACAATAAGTCCTAGTGTTGGCCTTAAAGTGGCTCTTTCAAGAAGAATAACAAGTTTAAGATCTTAATCTGTATTTAAAGTTACACTTCATAAGTAAATAAAAGTGGTTTGATTATGTGTTTTGTTTGGTGCACATTCAGTGTCGCTCAGCATCCCTTAAAAACAGCATCCCACTGACAGGCCTTTGCTGCCCTCTGTTGTCAAATTGCAGTTCACTGCAGGCAAACATGAAGATTTAAATGGTCATAGATGATGATGTTTAGCTGAAAGGATGATGGATCAACTGACAGTCTGATGGGCTACAGCAATATTCAAACGTTCAAATATGTCAAACAGTAAAATGTTACCCTGCAAGCCAAATTCTTGTGACAGGGGAGGCACGTAGTTAAAATGACAATGTCAACAGAACGCAATTTATTCCCCAAATTATCTGGAGAAATGCATCTTTGACTTTGTGCTGGTTAGTGCACTGACTTTTAGCTTTAGGGGTGTTTGAGGTTGTTCAGATCCATACAGACTCACAGCCCCTTTCATAGTTTCCTTTATTTTAGTACAATGTGGCCTGTCAATGGCAATAAACTGTTGGCTAAATTTAGATGTGAACGGAAACTGTAAAACTGAAACCTGTAAATGAAAACTGAAAGCCACAACTGTAACCTCAAAGTCATTGTTTCATTGCAGACCCACACACAGAAGAGATGGTTTCATTTATTTATTTGAGGCCCAGTGAGGTAAACTCTACAGTATTTCACTAAAAAGCAAAGAATTCAGAAATGAATACAAACTTGTGCATCAGAACTTTCTGATCACTAATCACCTCACAACCCTTCAGATATTTCTGGTGACCCTTTGGAAGCGGCCCGACCCCTCGGTTGGTCTCTGTCTCTCTGTCTTTCAACCCAACCAGTAGAGGCAGATGGCCGTGCACGCAGAGCCTGGTTTCTTTCAATTAAAGGGGAGTTGTGTTCCTTGCCTTGCTTGCTCATGGGGATGATGTTGGTTCTTTGTACATTAAAGAGCATAGTTTTGACCTGCTCAACATGAAAGTGTCATGAGAGGCCATGATGAACTATCTCTACCTTGACCAGCTACACCAGCAGTGTGCTACTTATGCATTATTGCATCAGTATCTACTTGTGATAATGTGACACATGATAGGCCTAATATGTCAGTCATGGGCATTTTATCCTGCAGAACAAGTACTCCTTGTTTTGATCCTCTAAAGTACAGCTGATGATAACAATTCTGCACTTCTCCTTAAGTAGGATTTTGAATGCAGGTCTTGTACGGACTATTTTCACATTGTTGTATTGCTACTTTTACTTAGCTAAAATGATCGGAGTACTGCTTCCACCACTAATGACATCCATCATAGATTACACGTCTTCAGCTGTATCTTAACCTGAACAGTTAACAACATTAAGGAACATATCTTTACTTTGTTGGTGTGTTTTGTTGTTGTTTTAGTCCGTGTTGGTGAGTAACTAGTTACATGCAATTAATTACAAAATAAATTAATTGTAATCAGACACAGTTACTGAGAAAAATATGTAATAATAATATGAAATAATAACTTTATTTGTATAGCACAGTTCATAGAGCAACGTCAACTCAAAGTGCTTTACATAATAAAATGAGGAATACACATAAAAGACAGTATAATAGAATTCGATAACACACTCACACAGACACACATAAAAACATACAAATTAGGTTTGACACCAATTAACTAAATAAAAGCTACAACAAGCAATTCTTAAAAGAGAAATTTCATTTGAAGCTGTCGACTGAATCAAAGAGTCTGACGTCCTCTGGAAGGCTGTTCCACAGACAAGGGCCGATGACACTGAATGCAGCATCACCGTACTTTTCAGTTCTTCTCTGGGGGACATTTAGGTCTACTAAGAGTTACTAATCAAAATGTTGGTGACTACAAAAGGGGTTTCTTTTAAAGATATTAATATTGGTAAAAAGCTGATACATAGAATAAAACATTCATTCTGTTGCTTTGCATCTTTTAGCTGAGCAGACATGCCTTCTTTTGGCATAGACTATTTCTGGACATTTTTCAGCTTTCTTGTTTAAAATGGGGGTATCAAACCTACATCCGGCCCACCAAAGGGTCCTATCTGGCCCTCTAGATGACTGAGATGAACAGCCTGATGTGTGAATTGAGACTGACTGAAGGTGGAAAAACAAAGACATACTGTTGAATTTGCACATAATTTTTCTTTCTTCTTTGTTTGACGGATGAACATTTTCAGAATGAAAGAAAAAAAATGAAGGGGTTGTTATTTAAAGGTTATTATGCAGTGGTTTTGAGTGTGCGGCCCACTTGAAATCATAGTAGCTGGGCAGCAGGGAAAAAGCTCTGACCAGAAAATGGATGATGCACGCTGGTCCTATAATAAATGACTAGATAGATGTGACAATGGAGATTTACATGATGGAGAAAGTTACTTTCTCTGTACACCTGAAGATGGACATTTTCATAAAGCACTGGGAGAAATGGGTGCAATATGTTCAGCCTCTAAGGCCTGGTTTTTGTTAAGATAATCACTTGAAGGAACATCCTGAACTGTTTTCTCAATTGTTTTCTCTTACCTGTCCAGATATTGCACAGTGATATGCAATTTGTAAAGCTAAGCAAGCATTCTCACTCTAGTCTTTATCTCTGCCTCTCTGGTTGCAAATAGTTAGTAGTTGCTACAGTTGTTAAATCCCCTTTTTATGGCCTTGCTTTGGAAATGGACAGAAAGTATTAGTCAATGGAAATGAAGACGAGGGTGAGAGGCATTATTTGAGATACAAGATTATTTTTTCAAGTCTGCCATCTTTATACATGGGTGTTGGTCTTTTTATTTAATTATTTTTATTTATGTATTGGTCTCATTTACTTATTTACTTACTTATTTGTAAGTTTTTTTTTCTCACACTGACTATACATTTATTGGCATTGACAAAGGATGTGTTAACACTGCAAAAATAAAAAGAAAGTTTAAAAAAAGAAGAAAGAACTGTATGTGGCCCCTGAACTAAAATTAGTTTGACACCCCTTGTGACTTTATTAAAAAGCTATTAACCATTAAATTGCATCATTAGTATTAATATAGTGACATTGTAGGATCAATTAGTTGCTTTTAAAAGAGGCCAGTTGGTCAGATATTAATGGGTTAGATGTTACTGTGTTTCTACAAGCAGACATATTTACTTGTTTGTCTTATCACAAATATCAAAATTTGTGACCGCGCCAAAATTCTACAGAGGAAGGGCTATGTTTTGGTAACAGCTGCTATTAAAATGTTAAAAAGTATGGCAAAAAATGTTAAAGCTGAAACTCCTATTTGAGTCCCAGAATCTGGTCAGTCACAAAATTTGGTGCAGTGCCTGTTAAGACTTTATACAGCACTCGAGGACAACATTTTCCTCAATCTTCTCACTTAATTTAAGAGGAGTTAGGTTAAGAATTTAAATGTATTATTTCCATCTGTGAACATGAGCTACTCTCTCTCAAGTCAGAAGAAGTCACATTTGTTTTAAAAGCAATCAAAAGTCATAACCAAGTGAACTTAGTCACATTACTTTGATGAAGTAATTAAAAAGTTACATCACTTATTATATCTTGGCAGGGTAATCTGTAATCCATTTCAGAAGTAACTTTCCCATCACTGGTTTCAGTTGAATAAATGAATGTCAGTGATGTGCTGCAGGCCCACTGACAGCAAATCAAATCTTGCAACAAGACAAATGGAAGCAATCAGGGTGTCTCTCTTTACCTTTATCTAGTCAACTGATAACGGATGCAGTCACGTGTCTCTGCCACGACGACACATAGTCCCGCCCCCTCTTGACTGACAGCAGCGAAGCCCCGCCCCTTAAACGTCTCATAACAACAGCTGGTAGCAGGGAGAGAAAGAGAGACAGCAGAGAGCAGCCACAGCAGGAACAAGTCATCTGCTGCCTGGCTTTACAGTGAAGACAGCAAGAAGAAAACACAACGTTAGAGAAATACTTCCTCCGACTTTCACACAGCTCAAGGCGCATGCTCAGACTAACTGACGGTGCAGCTATTTTATCCAGGAACTCAGAGGTGAGTACAGTAACGACAGTCATAGCTAAACGCAGTCAAATCTGCCCCGACACTTTGTGGCTTTTGTTTTTTGCATCAAAGCCAGCTAACGCGTTAGCTTTGTGTCCGTA